GTAACTTTATCACCTGACAGAAAGTTTCTCGCTGCAGCAGGTGATTTTTACAATCATCAATTATAGTAAATATACTATATAGAGATTTACTATAAATATACGAAAATATTTTTTATCAATTTTTAGGTAATCCAAATGTTCAGCTATATGATATGACCACTCATAATCCGAGTCCGGTAAATCAAATAATAAGTGCACTTTAATGTAAGAGATTAAATATAAAGCTACTATTAATAAATAATACTGCATAAAAAATTTTAACTATAGATTATCACATTAAGAGGACATAAACATAACGTAACAGCTGTCGGATTCATTGATGATAACATCGTTTACACAGGAAGTGAAGATGGAACTTTAAAACTTTGGGATATCAGGTATCTTATGTAAGATATTATAAAAGAAGTACGACTTATTAATAAACCTTTTGACAATATCACTTCAAAGGGAGAAATCGGTAAAAAAGTCATTCAACAATTTTGTTCCTGATGATATATGTGCGTGGTATAATGCAAGAAAATCCATGGTAAATGACGTAGCAAAATACCCTTCAGAATACAAATTGGTATCTATAGATGAAGAAGGTTACATAAAATTTTGGGATATGAGATGTGAATCTAGTACGAGTTTATGTCATCAGGTAAATGTATTTTACAATAATGTCATATATAGGTCTATAAAGGGACTAACGAAACCATTAATTGGTAGAAAAGATGGTTGGAAATAATTTTCCTGCATCCCCTTTACATTCCTTAAGTATGGCCCAAAATGAATCTATAATGGTTGCAGCAAACAGTGAAGTAAATAAAATAAATGTAATATTTTTTATTTTCAAATATAAGCTATATAATTTTATATTACAGGGATATTGTTACGCTTGGGATTTAACCTCTGTAAATGCTACAAATACTTTACCGAATCCTATTAAACATCAAGCGCATGGTTTTAAGAGGGGAAATAAATCATTTATTACTAGATGCTCATTGAATCCGGATGCTAGGTATTTTATATTGTAATCAAGTTAAATAATAATTTTCATATGTTGATTTTATTTTCACGTGCAGTTATCTAGCAACCTGTGGTGCGGACCAAATGGCAAAAATTTGGAGAATTTCATACAAAGATCGTGACAGATTAAGAGACATTAACGAGGAAAAAAATATTATTCAAGGATTTGAAGAAAATCAGACATTTGAACATCCAGCTCCTTTCTGGGTAAAGGATTGTGTTTGGTCGAATGATTCTCGAATCTTTATAACTGGTAAGTTGAGAACATATATTTTTTATAAAAAAAATTCTCGATTTTTTGTATGCTAATTCTATTTTACTAAAATTAGTTTCTTCAGATACGATAATGAGACTTTGGAGGGCTGCCACTGGTGAACTAGTGCAACAATTCAAATGTCATAAATATGGAATTATTTGTGTTTTTCTTCATGAATTTGATGATTAGTAATGAAAGCAAGGATGTTTTTTGTCAACATCCTAGTATATAATTGAAAATTAATGAAGCCATAAGAATAGGTTATGTTTGAAAAGTAATAGAGTTTGTTACAAGTAGTGTTCCGAGTTGGTAAAAATTTTGCCAATAGATTAGGTTGCAACCACTGAACTAATCAATTTTTATATCACGTGGCATCACCAGATGATTAGCCAATCAAATTAAAGTATCATACGGATTAGCCTGACTAGACGGAATATCTCAAATTGAACCAGCAAATGATTAATCGATTAGTTTTAATTTTTTTTTTAAATCGATTAGTTGGGAAGTCGCCAACTAGTTGTTTTTCAACGGATCACTAAACAGGGAGAGCTCAAAAACAAATAAGCTTTTAATTAAATTAGTAATAATAAAGTATATACTGTATTATGTAACTACTCTTAAAATTATTGAATTAAATGGATTAAAATGCTTTGAGAAGTTTCTAATGATTAATTTATAATTCATAAAGCAGGGTATATTCATATTAGGGGTCTGCAACCCGGGCTCGTGCCCATGCCCAACAGAAGGCACAGGCATGGGCATGAGCATGGGTACGAGCA